CCCACACCAGAGCATATATGGTTGACTCTTATAACAATAGTACTGGTCAGTCAGTGTACACGTACGCTTTGTGCGATCTGACGAATGATGGAGTTTCTATCGAGGCCACTCGCAGACTCCACGATATACCCTTTCGACGAATCACAAAATCCTCAAGGCAGCCTATGCGTGCTCACTGTGCCTAGTAGTTTTGACCAATCGAAAAATATTTTTGCCAGCCAATTGGAGGCTCTCCAAGTCGCTCTTTTCGACGAATCATAGTGCGGTTCAAAGGGCGATGCGTCACCAAGCTGGTCCCACAGTGCGCCATCCGGCTTTTGCAGCTGGTCCCGGAGCGCCGGCTTTGATCACCCAAAACGTAAATTCGACACTGTTTCTGGCATGAAACTTATGTCAACTTTACCAATACAAAAGCAAATGTGTCTGTCAGTCCAACAACACGCACAAACCAAGTGGCCATGGTAGACGTCGATACAAACGAGTCCGGCCCTCGCTACGCCAATGGCGTTTACGCGCCTCGTGGCGTCGCGAGGCCTCTTTCGAGGGATAAGTCCGGTGCTCGCAGCGACGCTGCCCGCGACTGTGCTCGGGTGCGCTGTCAACAATGCCGGTGACTTTGACAACATCAACATCGAGAACGAAGACGGCACCGTCGACACACAGATCATGGCACGCATTACGGGTCTCGCAGCCATCACTTTGCTCGGCAATGAGATCGTGATGACACCCATGGAGGTGCTGCACGCCACAGTCGGAGAAGGTGTTGACGTCGCTCTCGTTTCGTAGGTGGTCAAACAGCGCATGCAACTCGGCCGCTATGCCAGCGCCACCGACTGCATGCGTTCGGTACCCCAAGAAAAGCACTGCCTTTTGAGCTCACAAAGCTTTTGGCTTGTAGATTCTGCGAGACGAGGGGCTCCATGGCTTCTACCGCGGCCTCCCCACGTCAGTCGCCATGATGGCTCCGTTGGTGTACGTGGACGTGTCGTGAAGTGGTCGTCGCCGTGGACGCAATGTGCGGTGTTCCGGGTATATTTGACTCTGTTTATCTTCGCACAGCATACTGCCTATACTGCGTTTCTATTCCCTACAGCCTACAGTTGTACTGGGGCACGCCACGACCGTCGTTGGGATGTGCAGACCACATCACCACAGACGCTCGAGCATCCGCAGCTCATGCAACATTCTAGACTGATGGGCATGGCGACAACCACGATATGTTGTTACCAGTGTTCGTATATAACGTTACCAGAGGAAGAGCAAGAATCGACGTCGAAGGTGATTATTGCCGGCAGCCTCGCTGTAGTACGTCCGAAAATTCTCTGTCTCTTTCCTCTGACACGTATATCATCGGAACCAATAGGCGGCTGCACTTACAACACCGATGATGTGATTCGCACGCGACTCCAGACGCAAACGCTCTCGACAGTACCCATAGCTCAGCAGCCCTTGGCCCTTCAGTACAAAGGGTTCTGCGACGCTGCGCGCCAGATCCACAAAGCAGAAGGTGGCCGCGCGTTCTTTCGCGGTGTACTGCCCCGTGTCTGCATGTTGGCGCCGTCTGCTCTCCTTTCGGCAGCTCTTGGCGACGTTGTCGACCATCTTCTCGGCAAGATCGACGAGCCATCCTCGTGATCAAGCAAGTCGAATGCTCGATTTCCCATTTTCTCGGAGAACAATCTAAACTCAATGCGCTTGAAGAATTCGTTAAAGCCGAGTTTGCACGCTACACGTACTAATAGTCAGTCCACTCTGCTCTTTTGAGAGTGCATTTGTTTGTGAGAAAGTGAACCGGTTTGAGTGGCGCCGTTTCAGACGGCAACAGCCAACGTGCGGCCTTTCATGGGGGTCTTGCGCGGTCTCGAAGCCGCCGACGTCTTTAGCTCGGGTTCGAGCCTCGTCCGCGACATCATTTACGTTCTCTTGGGATCCGCATTATGTCATCGCTGAGAGTGTCGTAGGTCGACAGAGAACCGTCTTTAGTGCACTCGGTAGTCTTGGTAGCCTATTCTTGCGTCCAAGCGCCAGCTCACCATCGACGCAGCTCTCTTGCGCGACCTACGGCTCCCTAAAACACCGAGCTACATCGCATGGTCCTGCGACTTGTGCATGAGCGAGTCGTAGCAGTCGCTGCTCTGCACCTCAGAGCGACAGGGCGGCAATCTACCTACGTTTGGAACTGTGTGTTTCTCCAACGAGCTTTTACAAGTTGACGCCTTTACACGCAAAAACCCATCGAATTCATTTCTCATTTTGCAGCGGGCCGCACAGCCGCCGGGTCGGAGTAGCCCTAGCGCTGCGCTGGCGTTGGGAGACCGCAGCATTCGGCCCACGGGCTCTGCCATCCCTACCGGGCGGCTGTCGCTCGCTTGCGTTGGTTGAGAGCCATAGTAGTAGCGTAGTAGTACACGTTGGAGGGGAATAGGCACAGGCTGGTTTGGGGGCGACGACGAGCATATCAAGGTGGCAAGCTCAAACGCAGCAATTCCATGTCCCATCCGGTTATCGATGGGAGATACCTTTGTCCCATTTCGATGCACCCCACTCGGCGCATGAGTGCAGCTTAGAATACAATGTCCCATCCGGTTGTTGATGGGACAAATGTTGGTGTAGAAGAGTTGTCGGAGAGTGCCCAGGACAAGGGTGCATGACCACATCACTCCTTGGCGCCTCTCAGCAGATACAGATCGCATGTGACGATAATTGCAGCAGAACGAGTGTGGCTGTGGCCATGACAGCGTCATTGGACCGCAGTGTAGGTCCTCACCACGAGCCTTGGAGATCGGCTCGTCGCTTCTTGCGAGTTGCTTCGACTGCCCCACTTCACATTGACACGCCATCAGAGCAAACGTCTCTGGTGCTGCCACGTCATCGTATGCAAACCGCTGGTGTTGCCACGTACTCACATCGCTTTGACTTGGTTTGGGCGGTTACGTCGTCTGCGTTTTTCCGTGAACGAGTCGACCGTCGCTATGGCATGTCGTTGGTGGACACTGTCGTTGTTTTGCAGTCGCAGGAGAAGGCATCCGGTCGCGCGACGATGCGAAGATCGCAAGCAGTGACACGCAGTGACGCAGGGGTCGTGCGTCGAATGAAGGCGAGTTGATACTTTCTATTGACCCTTGTTGATACCATGACCCTAATGTACTGACCACAACGACAGGGATACTCGTTGAAGACCCGTAGCCTTTCGGTCACAACACAACGCTCGTCCAAGCATCCACATGTACCACGACCTCGCCTACCAACGCGGGCTGCACGTCGCGCCAGATAGCCCGCCGCCGGCGCTCGACGGGTTGATTTCCGTACCGGTCGTTGCTCTGGACGATGTCGAGGTGGTTTGGCCCATGCACTGTGACACGGCCAACGACGTATTCGACGAGACCCGCGATCGTGTCGGCGTCAACGTCCCTCCACACCGCGTTTCGATGGATGCCGCCTGGGAGGCGACAGTAGCACGTCAGCTGCGACCGCTCGTTGCTCACTTGTCTGCCGACGTGACGATCGCTTTGGCGCATCTCAGCCTTGCGACTGCGCTCGTCGACG